GCTGAACAGACGCAGGCTCAACTCAATGAACGTGAGATCATGACCTGGTTGAAGTTGGACGCTTAACCGACACCCCCCAGGCACCCCTCCCCTCCTTTTTTTTTGGAAGGGGGGGGAGTGCCAGGATTCATTTATTAGTTGTCAATATTGTGTAGAATGTTACCAAACTCTGGATTAGAACAAAACTCAAAGGCCTGGTGGCTCAGTCGGTTAGGCGTCCGACTTCAGCTCGGGTCATGATCACACGGTTCGTGAGTTCAGGCCCAGCGATGGGCTCTGGGCTGACGGCTTGGCCTGGAGCCTGCTTCGAGTCTATGTCTCTCCCTCTGCCCTTCCTGCTCGCACTGTCTGTCTCAAAATATATGAAGAAAAGTTAAAAAAACCCAAAACTTAAAGTTTTTTATGAATCAGAACTTCGTTTTTCCAAGTTTCCTTCTAGACATCATTTATAGACGAAGATACTGATATGTATAGAGAGACAGATATGGTATATAATATCTATATAAGAATATAACATTTCAGCATATGAGTGGTATAGATATAATTTATATTTTATTTATTCTCCATTTAATATCATAACGTTTCCACTTTTTGTACGCTGAAAACATCCAAGTTTCATAATTAGAATTGTAGTGGCTATGTATCATTCTAATGCTATTGTATACTTAATTAATTCTTTAATATTTGATCTATAGGCTATTACCGGTTTCTGATTACTTACTTATATAAACAATACTGCAGCTGAACTCATTACTTTAATAGCTGTTTGGTGTGGGGGGTGGGGATCGTTTCTCCCAGCTAAATTCCCAGAAAGAGAATATGAGGGTCAAAGCATGTCACGTGGTTCTGGTTCTCATTAAGCTTGGGTCACTTACAAGACTAAGGTCTTTAAATTGTAGTAAATACACCTCTTGCTGCATTTCTGCACATCGCATCCAGTTAGCAGAGAACTTCAGAGGGATCGTTTGGGGGGGCAGCTCCAGCTCTTTGAGGCTGTCGCAGGGCTATCCACAGCGGTCACCACTAACCATTAAGAGGGATTTTATGGAGATTTGTTGCCCAGAAGGGGAGTCAGGAGGTTCCGGCCAGCATTGACTGGAACCTCAAGTAAACTTCTCCCAGCAGGTGGAAAGTATGGTTCATTACAAAATACTGGCGGGAGCAGAATGGCTGTTTGGCAGTGGTTATCTGAAGAGTTCTAGAGGAAACAATTATACAGTACCTTCAGACTCACTAAAATGTTAAAACTCAGAGAGTTGCCCCACAAGACACGCATTAGAATTGACCAGTAAATTTTTTTTTCCCCCGCTGAGGTTTGAAGTGTTTAAAAAACGGATACTAGAAGATAACATTCCTCTTGAAGTTAGGTATTGGGTAGGTCCTATTTAGAAACCGAGGAGGGACTTAATTTCCTACAAGGCAGCTTTGTAGCTATGTTAAGAACATGTTTTATGAGTTTACAGCAAAGAGACAGAAGGAAAGCTTAAAAATGAAAGGAACGACGATGCGTATGTGATCATGTAATTACAAATCTATCTCTGATCCCGGTCCTGAGATGTAGCTTTGGAGTACTCTGTTAAGAATTTTTTTTAGATTTCGTGGCCTGGGAGAGGAGCATGGTTCCCAATAAGAGTTCTCCTTCCTGGGGTTACCTCTTTATTTAAATAAATCCCATGGGGTGCCTGGTGCAGTCAGTTAGCGTCCGACTTCAGCGAGGTCACGTTGATCTCCCGGTTCATGGTTCCTGAACCCCGCTGTCAGGCCTCCCCAGGCTGATGGCTCAGAGCCTGTTTCCGATTCTGTGTCTCCCTCTCTCTCTCTGCCCTCCGTTCATGCTCTGTCTCTCTCCGTCCAAAATAAAATAAACGTTGAAAAAAAAAATTAAATAAATCCCAAAGCTTAGGAGCCCTAAAGAAGTTGTTGGTCTTTGTAAGGTCATGCTGATACGATGCCCACTGGTAGCCCCTGGTCTAATAGGATCTCTAGAAGGTGTGTTTTGTTTTGTTTGGAAGAACACGTGATAGTCGATTCTGTTCATCAAGGCCTGTCACCACTGTGGTTCTGTCACCCAGAACCGAGACATGAATCCTGTCATTTATGGGGTAGCATAGCTAGTTATCAGGGCACTGAAATTCTGTTCTCACTGAAATTCAGATTCCATAGATCTGAAGTGCAACTCTGGGTTCTGGGTTTCTCCCTCGGGAGCTGGAATGACACCTTCTTTTTCTTCTGGACCGGGAATTACTTGACTGATGTTTTGTGTCCCAACGGGACTCTCCTGTCCAGGCACCTGCTTGTCACCTCCGCCATGTGCCCAATGCAGCATCGCCCCCCACCCTCACCAGTGCGGCCAAGGAAAGAGGGGTTCTGGAGCCCAGCAGCACTGGGAGTGATGCCCCAGGGCTGTGGGAGGCAGGGGCCCATGTAGCCCATCCAGAAAGAAACTTTGGATCCCCAAACTCCTTGTTATCACACCCCATTCCAATCCGCATTTCTCCAGTCAGTCAGTGGCACTCCTTTTAACCTGGTTGTTCTGGCCACCTTTGCACCCCATCTTCTGTATAGTATCAGGTCCTGTGATCGGGCTCTATCTTCAGTAATGTCTCAATCCAAACACTTCAACCTCGTCCAGTCCTCGTCATTCACCCGGAGAGTGCTCCCGGCTTCCAGCTCCCCTCGGCCTGGGCTCGCCCCGTCCGTGGTCCGTGGCACAGCTCCCCCATCTCCACCTGTACCCCCGTCCTCTGCTGCACCTGCCACATTCGGAACATTCTCCACACGCCAGGGGGGAGTCCGTGCAACCTTGTGGTGGCACAGAGCAGACACGCACGTCTGGTGGCTTTCCCTCACGCTAATGTGGCTTTGAAGCTGTCCTTGGTCCAATCGCCTGCTTCCCGGCCTTATCCGTCATCTCCGTCTGGTCACATTGGTATCAGCTGTTCCGTGAGCACACCCAGCCCTCTCCCACCTCAGGGCATCTCCATTGCTGTTCCCGCTGCTCGCAAGGTGTTTCCCAGACCTCTGCAGTCCGCTCCTACACTGTTCAAGAAACTCATCCAGGGCTTCTGGTCTCAGTCGGTTAAGCGTCCGTCTTCAAGCTCAGGTCATGATCTCACGGTTCGGTGGGTTCGAGCCCCACGTCGGGCTCTGTGCTGACCATTCAGAGCCTGAGGCTGCTTCGATTCTGTGTCTCCCTCTCTGCCCTCCCCTGCTCACTCTGTGTCTCTCTCAAAAATAAATAAACCATTAAAAAAAAAAAAAGAGAAACATCATCCAGACTCTATCTAAAGCCGCTGTGCCCACACCCCCACTGCCCCTTTCTTCCTCTGGGTTCACTAGTTTTCACGAGGACAGCAGCACCCTCACATCTGGGCATGCAGTGTGGACTGAATGACTGAATCCCACTGTAAGAGCTTTTAGCCTTTTCAGGGAAGGATCACTGCCCCTAAAGTCCCACCCCTGGTCACCCTGGCCCTGTATTGGGCGATCCTCCTTATCTGGGTCTGGAAGTAACAGAGTATACCCGGGAAGAGGTCAAGGGAGGCCGTGTCTCATCGCTGCTTACATCATCCTGAGAGTTAATCAGGGGGGCACCTGGCTGGCCCAGCCCATAGAGCATGTTGTTGATTTCGGGCTGTGAGTTCAAGCCTCACGTTGGACGTGAACTTACTTAAAAAAAAAAAAAAGTTAAGGGAAGCCTGGGTGGCGAAATTAGGTTAAGCGGTCCGACTTCAGCCAGGTCACGATCTGTGATCCGTGAGTTGACTACAGCGTCAGGCTCTGAGCTGATGGCTCGAGCCTGTTTCTTCTGATTCTGTGTCTCCCTCTCTCTGCCCTCCCGTTCTGCTCATGCTCTGTCTCTCTGTCCCAAAATAAATAAAACGTTGAAAAAAAAATTAAAAAAAAAAAAAGTTAATCGGATTCTTCAGCACAATTAGGATTTTAAGGAACACGAAAGAGTTGTCCTGAAGAATAGGTAAAAAAAGCCTTCTGGAGTGCAGGTACCTTGTGCACGAGGAGCATTCTGGGTGGCAAAGCCAGCATGAGAATGACAGGAAGGGTGAAGGCACATGGGGGAGAAGGAGTGAAGGGAACTTGGCCGCAGGACGGTGAGTGGGTCCCCTGCCCGGGTGCCCAGATGGCCTGGGGTGGAGATGGGGAGTTAAGCAGCTAAGCATGATGCTGGGGGGAGGCAGGTGCTTTAGGAACTTGAAACAAATTCACTGAGAAGGTTATTTGTATTATAAATGTGTCGGGGGAAATAGACCTTCCCGAATCATTCCTCTTTAATCATCTGACCATTCTGCATAAATCAGAATGCAACTCCCATCACATCCCAAACGCTCCCAGGTTTGTGGCTTGGGATTGAAGTGAGGGGTGAAGGGCTCCCTGGGCGAAGGTGGTTGAGTTTCCATAGCCGTGACCATCGCATCGGCCTTGGCCTCACTGGATCAGAGCTGTGTTCATTCAATCCCAGTCGGGCTTCAAGCTGTTAGCTGCTCAGACCACCACGCTGTGGGTTTTGAGAAATTATAATATTTGTCCAAGGCATATTTATATGTGCTGCTTCTTTTTTTTCGTTGGCCTTTTCAAGTCTTTGTATTCCTTTGTTTTCATCTGTGGAATCTGAGTTTTATTTAAAATTCCAGATGGTTGACTGTCCTCAATTGAGTGTTTATGCTTTTTTTTTCCCACTTTTTTTTTTTTTTTGGAAGTGACTGTTCTCAGATCAGTGCTATATTTTGCTTTTTTGTGGAGTTTTAAAAATTAACGGTCTATTATATATAAATCTAGTAAAAAAGAGCAGCTGCTGTACCTAATTGTGGGGTGTGAATAATAGACATTCTCACAGCCTAACGATGATCTCTTGCAGTGCAGTAAAACTTTCTTGGAAGCTCTGTCATTGAAGTTTTTCTTTAAGTTTGTGGTTGTTTATTTTAGGTTCCCTGTGATTCTTATCTTATCTTAGCTGCCCCCGGTCCCTGGAAGATTTCTAACAGCAACAACAACAAAAATTGGAAGGATGGTTTTTATTTGTATAGATTTTATCTGTATATAGTTTTTAAATTGTTTCTTAATGTTTATTTTGGGGGGGGTGAGAAGCATGAGTGCGGAAGGGGCAGAGAGAAAGGAAGACACAGAATCGGAAGCAGGCTCCAGGCTCTGAGCTGTCAGCACGGAGCCTGACGCGGGGCTCGAACCCACAAACCATGAGATCATGACCTGAGCCGAAGTAGGACGCTGAGCCGGCTGAGCCACCCAGGCGCCCCTTATCTGTATATTTTTAAGGTTCAACCAGAAAGGGGAAAGGAAGTTTAGTTGCCACCTGCTGTACCATCAGGCATTTTTAAAAGTCTGTCATCACCTTGGAAGAGACACAAAAGCATCTTGCCTCCAGCAGAAAGTCAGGAGCATCTCTCTGGGTCTCTAATGATGGCATTTCCTGTCTTCTCTGGCGATAGGAGAAAAGCGCCGTGGTGACTTCACTCTGTAGCTCCAAAAGACCTATTCTCTTTTTCTAGAGAACAATTCCTCTTTCTTTAGCGCTTGGAGGCACACTTTTTAGATACACAGTTGCTCACTGTCCTGGGAAGAAATGCGTTGCCATTGTTTGCGAAGAAACAACAAACCCATCTGGCAGGCTGGTTTGTTTGTTTACCTTTGTTCCTGTTAACTAGCCTTTCGGATTGAAGGAGGGGATGGAGAGCTGGCCGCAGATGAACCACTGGTAGGTGGCCGGCCGCTCAGGACGGTCCGGAGGGCTCCGGTACCACCCGCCAACTTCCCCAGGGCTCAGCACCACGTCTTTTTGTGTGTGTTGTAGCCACAGATGAGTTTTGGAGGAACGTATTGCCAGGAAAGAAAGATTAGGAGGGAAATCACTGACACCTCGATTTTTCCTTGTGTCACTGGAAACCTTAGGGTCTCAAGTGTAGTTCTCCGATGATTTTTTGTTTTAACGTGTTATTTCGTATTTGAGAGAGTTAAAGAGAGAGAGAGAGAGCACGAGCAGGGGAGGGGCAGAGAGACTGAGACAGAATCCGAAGCAGGATCCATGCTCCTAGCTGTCAGCGCAGAGCCCGATGCGGGGCTCAAACTCACAACCGTGAGATCACGACCTGAGCCGAAATCGGGAGTCGGAAGCCCCCCAGGCACCCCTGGAATAAAGTCATATTTATTATTAGATATTAAATGGAGGGGTGGTAAGAACATTCACTGTATGGGTTTTCAATCAAGATCAGCCCTCATGCTCCCAGAATGTGACTTTTTTTGGAGCAGGGGGGCGGCGGCGGGGGGTGGGGGGGACACCTGTTGCCTTCAGAGAAGACGCCTTTGATGTTAAAGCCGAGTCAACCTTTCCCGGCAGAGCCTGTCACTTTCCCCGTGTTCTTGTGTGTGCATTTCCTCTCTCCGCCCAGGACGGGCCTCGTGTTTTGGGAGAAACGTTCATGTCGAGAGCATGAACCCAGACTCCAGCTCGGTTCCCTTTCATCCCTGTGTCTGTTAACGAAACCTGAGAAGTGAAGCCCCCCCGGGGGGCCCCCCTCTTGGATTCCTAAATTGCTGGATGGAGAAGAGTTGCCTGAAAAGGGAGCTTAAAACCGAGAAGCGTGGCCTCGAAAGAGAGACAAGGAAGGAGTCCCTTATAAAAGAGCCAGAATCTGATTTTGTCTCCTTCCTGTCCTCCCCAGTCCTCAGTCCTCCTTTGTGACTCAGCCCGGCCCTAGGCTCTGACTAGGAGAGATAAACTCAGAGGGGGAGGGTGGGGGGGGAGGGGGAGCCTCCGCCATCAGTCTGCTTTCAACCTGCCTTCTGGCCACGACATTCCCCACCTTGTCTGTCAGAACACAGACGGCACATTCAAGCCCAGTCATTCCGGGAAGGTTGTTCAGTAGCAGGAAGGTTTACCTGGCTGCGGAGAAGGTTCAGGAAAGGCGCTAAGAGCTAGTGCCGAACCCCGGGGGCCAGTCAGGGTGGGGGGCTGCTGCGGTCCCCTCCGTCCCAGGGGGCGGGGGTTCCTGACCGGAGCCGTGGCCTCGGTCGAGGACCCAGCCAACCCAGAATTTCTCAGCGAGAGGACCTTCAGATACACCTAAATTCCCCGCCCTCCGATGCACCAGAACGTCTGTGGCAAATCTGACACAACCGGAGGGCCCGGGAGGCCGTGTGTGGTCCATATCCCCGGGTCAGCCGCTGGGGACACAGAGGACAGATCTGGGAAATTCCCACCACATTGACGAAGTCAGTGACGTCACAGCTGAAGGAGATTACAGGATTTAGGAAACGCTGGTGATTTGGGGCCACGAGATAAAAAGGACATCAGTTTCTTAACATTTCTATGTATTTCTGGTCTTTCCTTGGGATCTCGTCTCCTTTGGAGATCTTGTCCAGGCTGTGGCTCGAACCACCCACGTGGTGCTGGTGACGTCCACGCTGATCTTTTTAGCGTTGACCCTTCCCTGAGCTCACACTCGGCCATCCAGCTCCCCGGTAGGCTCTCCACTTCGGGGTGTCTTAGAACGTCAACCTAACAAAGCTAAAACTGTCTGACTCCAGCTCCTAAAGCTCAGACCAGCAATCTTGGAGTCAACCCTGAAACTTCCGTACCTCCACTCACATCTGATCCTGGGGTTTTCCTGACACCTGGGAAGGACACCTAGAGTCTGGCCCCCGCTCACCACCTACGCTGCTGCCCTGTGGTCCAAGTCTCCCATCTCCCGGGTTGGAGAGAGACCTGGAACCTTCCTTCACAACATGGCGCCTCTATGTGACCCATGGTTCCCCAGCTCATTCAGACCCAAAGTCTACGAGACTCTACACAGGCTGGCCCTTTCTTCTCTGACCCCGTTTCCTGATAGTGCCTGAGGCTTACCCCTGCTCTAGCCCTTTGCGGTCCTTACTGGTCAACACAAGGCACGTACCTGCCACGGGGCCTTGGCAGAGAGCAGGGGGCTGAACTTTTCAATCTAAGATCTAAGTAATGGAAACATTCATCTACACAAATGTTTGCAGGGGCATTATTCCTGTAGCCCCAAACTGGGAAAACCCTAATGTTCATCAACTGTGAATGGAGAAACAAAGTGTCACTGGGCAGTAAAAAAGAGAGAAAGGACCGAGACCCACGTGACAACGTGGATGAACCTGGAAGACATTCTGCCTGGTGAACGTTATGTGCTAATGGAAGCCATTGTGGCAGTCACAAAAGACCTCACGGCCGAGGATTCCATTCATAGGAAATAAGCCAGAGCAGGCAAAGTTATGGACGTAAGGTAGAGTA